ATGTGACCTTAATTGTATTAGGATACTGTAGAGGCAAGGAGAACTATATTGTTCTGGTAGAAGTTACAAAGAGTCATGGCATTGTGAGTAGTAACAGCACTGCCACTTTGTTTTTCATGGTGGGAAACAGGAAGTTAGGAATAATACATTTGATGATAAAGAACACGAAGAGACCGTGCATGGACACTGCAGAGAATCTTCATGCTCACTGATTAAACAATAAACAAATGCATGAAGTGCCTCTATTAATCTTTATCAGTAATCCACCGTATCTTACTTGGGCCCCTGAAGTTCTAAAATGCATCTTTTAATACAATTGCTTTTATAGATAGGCACCCCACAAAACATGCTTGCCCAGGAATCTACATACCCTTAGGGGTATATCTGACTCAACCCTTCACTGTATTGTCTCTCATGAAGCCAAAAAAATAATTTGACTTCAATGTTAATTTTTTAACTCACAAGTTCCTTTTCCTTCTACATTTTAAGTAATTTACATTGTATTTCACGAATCCTATCTTCTTCCATACTTTTTTGCTCCTTCATTTTCTCTCCTCCTTCTCCACCCGGTCCCTTTCAAATCCAAAGCAAAGGTGTGTTGTGTGTGCGTGTGTGTGTGCGTGTGTGAGAAAGCTGGGGGGAGGGGGGTGCGGGGGGAAGAGAGAGAGAGAGGAGGGAGGAGGAAGAAGAGAAGGAAAAGTCAAAGAGAAGATTGAAATGACCAAAATGGTATTGCTGGGTGGGAGAAAAGGAACATGTACAAATGCTATTTCTTGTTTGCCCATCTCATACTTCATCCTTAACATGTAAGGTAATGTTGAAAGCGTAGCCCACTTAAAAGTAGTGTTGTCCCTGCTTTGCTGTTGCCCAGAACGAAGGCCCCCATCTGTTATGTGGTTCAACAACATTAGCCTCTAAGCTGTTAGGAGAGTAAACAACTCCACCAACAGACACGACTCTTTTGGCCATGACACCTTGGGTTAGAGATGTTAACTGCTAACTTTGAAGTCTGGCTCCATGTAAGCAGCTCTAATATATGCACGATCTTGAGGAGACTCTTATACCTGGAAGGTATGATGGAGATAATTTTCCTCAACTCCTTAATTGTACAGATGGGAAGCTGAGACCAAGAGAGGATGTGGCTTGTCCAAACACATATGGTAAATCAATAGTAAAGAAGGGTTATAAACTAGCCTTATAATCCCTTGGTCCAGCGCTTTTAGAACCCAACCATGTTACCATTCCATTGAATACATACATTCATTCATTCATTCATTCATGGAATATATATTTTCTGAGCATCTATTCAGTATCAGGCACTGACCTATGTGCTAGAATAAAATACAGATACCTGTCCTTATAGAACTCATGTGCACGAGTGTGTGTATGCGTGTGTGTGTGAGAGAGAAGAGGATAATATTAATAAGTAATTCTAGTGCAATCTTAACGTGCCATGAGGAAAATAAAATTAGGTAAAGAGGATAGGGCGTACTGAGAAGAGTACTAATAATTTTAAGCAGGGTACTCAGGGTAACCTGAGAAAGCTACATTTGAGGAAAGACTTGATGGGAGGTGAGGGAATGAGCCTCATAAGTATGGGAGGAAAAGCATGCCAGGCAGAGGGAAAGCACGTGCAAAGACTTTAGGAAGAGAACCTGTACTACACGTTTGAGGAATGGTAAGGAAGCTAGTATGGCTGGAACAGAGAGTAGATGTCAGAGCAGTAGGAGATAGGGTCAGAGAAGGAACAAGACGTGCAGCTAAGGGTTGGGGAGCCAGATGGGACTTTAATTTGAGGAGGGTGTTGTCAGTTATGGGTAGAGTGACACGACCTGATTTATACTGTAACAGGCTCACTCTCAGTGCCATGTGGAATCAGAGTAGATTGTAGGAAATGAGGGTGGGAGCAGGGAGGCCAGTTAGGCAAGCTGTGATGCTGAGCGGCACCACCCTTCAGGGGAACTCTTCAGCGTATACAAAATTAGAATTTCATATGGCTATTTGTATTTGTGACTTATGATGAGTTTTGAGACACCTGGCTAAATGAAACAGTAGCCACATGAACTAAGAATTCTCAATTCTGTGTATCTGAGAGTAGTGAGATTGCCTAGGGAAATCATAGGCACAGCTAAGTTAAAAATAAACTGCCAAACAGTTTTGAAAGACTGGTAATATTAGGAAATAGCAAGTAGGAGTTTGCATTACTTGCAAAGAAACTTAGATGAATACAAATAAGTAAGACAAGTATCTTAGGGACATTTTTCTTTAGCAATGAAGATGAACAGAGAATGGCAAAAGAGAACAGAAGTGCTTCAGAAGACATCATATACACTTAAAATTATAAACAACACTAATATCCTATTTTTGGATTTGCAATGTGTTTTATATCATTATTTCATATTCTCTGAATCATCTCATAAGCTTATAAATAGCTAAAGGCTGGGCTTCTCACCTCTGACTCCAAATCCCATAATGTTCTCACTATACCATTTTCCTAACTACCCTGTCCTTTAACATCTTTATAAAGTAAAAACAAAACACTAAAAGAAAGCCAATTTGCCTCAAAACAGTTCTCCCCTCTCAGGGAGTTGACGGCATTCCCATGTCTGTGAAGGGTCTGTGTCATTGTCAAAATGAAATTAGAGAGCAACCCAAAAATTCTTAATGATGTCCATGTAGGTGTGACAAAGATTTAGGGGTGTTTGTTCTCTTGATTATATTAGCACTGGGACCCTCTTAAGGAGTTATCTCCAGTATTTAGAAACTAAACCAAATCACTATATGAGCATTTGGAAATATAAAGGCTTTATAGTGAAGATGTAACAGGTTTGAAAAGGGTATTTTACCAAAAATTCTGTTAATAAAATAGTGAAATAAATATAAAGGAGCACTTCATTTATTAAAACTTGCAACCAACATTAATCTTTTTCTTTTTTTTTTTTTTAAAGTTTTTTTTTTTTTCAACGTTTATTTATTTTTGGGACAGAGAGAGACAGAGCATGAACGGGAGAGGGTCAGAGAGAGAGGGAGACTCAGAATCGGAAACAGGCTCCAGGCTCTGAGCCATCAGCCCAGAGCCTGACGCGGGGCTCGAACTCACGGACCGCGAGATCGTGACCTGGCTGAAGTCGGACGCTTAACCGACTGCGCCACCCAGGCGCCCCAACATTAATCTTTTTCTAATATAAACCTTAAGTTGGTTGTTTTGCTGTATCTTATCTATCTTGATAGGTTGTTTTTACTATCAGTTAGGAAAAGTTTTAAAGTTTTACTTGACTTTTTTTGCTCTGATCCATTATTTAAAGGTGTTACCAACTTCTGTGCCAAACTCATTCTGTCTTCACTATCTGTCATTTTGGTTAGTAGAACTTCATCTTTCCTGTTGTTCTGGCCAAAAACCATTTTTTACTTCTTTTTCTTACAACCCACATCAAATCTTGATCTTACATGATCTGCAAATTCCTTCTCATCCTCCCAGTTTGCTGGGCATCAGCCACATTGGCTTCCAAAATACCAAGTGGGCTCTTACCTTAGAACCTTTGTACTGATTGATCTTTCTGTCCAGCTCTTCCCCCGACAACAATTCATTGCTTTCTGTGAACTCAGCATATCCAGAAAAATAAGCACTTTATATTTGCAAATTACATCATGTATTTTATTTTTCTCACCATCGTCAGTAGAGTTTCCTATTTTATCCTTAAAGTTTAAAACACTACTCAAAATGAACCTTTTAAAAAAAATGTTTATTTATTTTGAGAGTGTGCACTCGTGGGAGGAGGAGCGGGGGGGGGGGCGGGGAGAGAGAGAGAGAGAGAGGGAAAGAGAGAGGGAGAATGAGAGGGAGGGAAGAGAGAATCCCAAGCAGCGTCTGTGCTGTCAGACCATGACCTCATGAACCATGAGACCGTGACCTGGGCCGAAATCAAGAGTCAGATAGATGCTTAACTCACTGAGCCACCTAGGCGCCCCAACCCCAAACTAACCCTTAAGAGGCAGAATCAGTACTAGAGTGTACCTGATTATGCTTGTTTTAAGCATTCCTCTGCTCTAAGTAATACTTCCCAATAGAAGATCAAGATGCTTTCTGGTCCATAGTACATCATCATTTTAACAAGAGAAAACCTTCAACGGGTGCCTGGGTGGCTCAGATGGTTAAACAAGAGATAAACTTCAGAGGCTTTATCATTGGGGAACTTATTTAAAAACTGTTTCCCCCACTACACAGGTGAAATCAGCTTTAATGAAAATGGAGGAAAATACAAGAGTATGAAAAATCTTTTTACCATGTTGGAGTATTATCTTACATCCCCCCGTTCCTTTTTGATTTAACATATTCATGTTCCTTTATTACAAACAGAAATATAAATAGTTCATTAATATTCTTCTCCAAAAAGTACCATGTTTATTTAGCCATTTGCTTAGCTTCTACTATTATGGTACTCTGAAATTTTTCTTTAACTACTGTGATTAAACTTTAAGATGGCAGATGCATATATTTCAACTATGACTTCCTCAGTTTTATTCCCCTAAATCAAAGGTTCTGCACATTTTCCGGAGTATTGATACTTATTTTTACATTGCTTATCAAAACTGTTATATAATCTACACTCCCTTCATCAATTGGCAGAAATAAATCACAGACATTTCAAAACTATGTTATGTCCAGCCGCGTTCATTTTACAAATTCAAAAGTGAAGCCCAGAGATTTGAATCTAGAACCCAGCTCTCTGGACTTCCAGTCAATTTCTCCCCCTGGATTCACTGCAACTGGCTATTCAGCAGCGAGGCCGACCCCTCCGGACTCTCTGCCCACTGCAGTCTACCCTCGTCTCGGGCTGTCGCCCAACTCCCGTGGGATGCCAAGGAACTGGGAGGTTCGAAGATGGCACAAATCACCAGGACCTCACTATTAGCTAACATAGGGAGTACACCTGTCTGCCCCTCCGCGGCCACAGGGTCGCAAACCAGAAACCGGAAATGGCGAAGTTCGTGGACGCGCCCAGCGGGCAGCCACCTCCTCCCGCTTGCAGCGACTTCGTCCCGCCTCGACACGCGTGGCCAGCTTTCAGTCTAGACTCATCGAGCGAGGATGTCGCGTTGAGTGGTTTCTCAGGCTCAGGCCCTGAAAAGCCCAGGAACGGGCCCCTACGTGTCCGTAGCGAATGCCAGGGCGGGTGCCTTCACCATCCCAGCAAATCCCAAGCGGCCGTGGGACGGGCGGCTACTTATCGCTCCGCTCAGGCCTAACGAGTCGAACGCGGAACTAGCGAGCAGGCGGAAGCCTCGTTCGGGGCTGTTGCTCAGCAGGCGGGGCCTGGCTTTGGGCCCCGGGCCTCCCAGGCTGGGACTCTGCGCCTGCGCCCGTGCGGCCGCGGCCTGCTCTCCCGGCGCGGCCGCGGTCCCTGCTGCAGCGCGCCGCCTGGGTGGCTGGGCGGTCCATGGGCAGCAGCGAGGGCCACGATGACAGATTACGGCGAGGAGCAGCGCAATGAGCTGGAGGCTCTGGAGTCCATCTACCCCGACTCCTTTACAGGTGACTTCCGCGGCTGCGGGCCGGGAGCGGCCCGGGGGTGGAGTGGGATGGGCCGGAGCCCTCGGCCTCCCGGGCCGGGGATGGAGAAGGAGACAGCGAGGCCGCGTGGCCACTTCGCCCGCTACTCTTCATCTTCTTCTCCCGACGTGTTCAGGCACTTAGGGGTAACTGCACAGCTTTTCCCTTTCTCCGCTTACTCCCTGAAATCTGAAAGTCCAGAAGAGGCTGGCGAGGTCCCTGGAGAGTGTCAGGCCTGGAATTGAGTCGAGTGCACTTTGGTTTCTGTGTAACTTAAGCAACCCGAGATTTAGTGAGAAACACGAAAACAGATACTCCCAAGTGGGCGTAGTTTTTCCAGAGTCGCATTGGTGTCAGTTTTCACATTTTCACCTTTACTCGGGTAGAAGCTGTTTTTCATACGATGGTGTTTTAAAGTTTATGGGATTCAGAGTGCTGTTCTCAAAGTTACCCAGAATCAGTTCTGAGAGTAGTATTGTCCCTGGAGTTTCTCGTTTTCTTTATATTCTGGTATTCTGCAAATGCCCAGTGAATGATGTGGCACAAATTTTAGCTCCACTGCAGATTCACAGGTTTTTAGGAAGGAATATTAGACATCTAGCCTAGGTGTCTCTTGCTACAAGCAAGGCATCTAGGAGGCGCAGGAAAAGTGGCTTGCTTTGCGTCTGGCTAGCAAGTTAGCGGCAGAGCTGGTACTAAGAGTTAGGTCTGAACCCCCTTTTCTGTTCCTTCACGTTGCAGACATGTGGAACTTGGGATCTAGCTCCAGCTGAGATAAGGGGGAGCAGAAGATTACTTGATAGGTTGGGCTAATGTGAAATACTGAGAGGCTCATTAGGTGCATTTTACAGGGAGAGAATTTTTCTGCATTAAGCCTTGCTTCAGATGATTTTGAAAGTGCAGCAAGACGACCATATCAATACGGCTTTCTCCCTTTACACTTAGTGTTTGAGAAGTGATCAAGTAAAATTAATATGTGTGACCTAGGTTTGTGGGATTTACATTCCCCGTCCCTTCCTTTGACTGTTGTCCATCACTGATGGTCAGAATTCAGAATGTAAGGGAAGTTTAACTCCAATCCCTCTCCCTTTCTTGTTTAGCTTAGTTTTTTTTTTTTTTTTTTTTTTTTTTTAGCTCCACCTACTGCTTGCAACGGTAGCAAATTTTGTTCTGCTTTGCCAACAGGCAGATGTCTCTCAACTACCCCTGTATAGCTCCAGTCCTGTTCATGTTCTCTCTCTCCAGCAGTACAGCTGTGCTGTGAGGATGTTAAGGGGATGAGTGAAGAGGGGTTTGAGAGTGTCATTAACTGGGTGAGTGTGTATGGAGTCTGGCTCCCTTCTCTATCCTTGCTTATATGTCAATGTCTAAATAAAATAGAATGTAGGGTCAGTTGTCAGATATATTCTTAATTGTGACATTTGGTCATTTCTAGTACATTTGGAAATGTGATAGGCACTGTGTAGGCAGAGTTAAGAAAGCATAAAGATGTGCTATTCTTCTATGGACATAAGGTATCCCTTATTAAATACTGTGCATAGAAGCATTTTAAAAAGTGATCCATTTTTAATCCTAAACCAATCTTACGGTTCTTTCAAATTGTACTAAGCTCTGATGTAGTTCAGTGTGTGACATTCTTGTCAGATGCAAAAGCGTTTGAGGAATCTGAGCCAGGGTAATGAAAGACAGTTTACGAATCTTTGATGCCTTTAAGTATTCTGCAGCATCAACTGAGCCCATCTGTCTCTAATTCCTACCAGCATTCCTATAAACTTTGCAATAAGTAAATTAAAATAAGATGTTTTGATTTGTAGTTCTTCAGAAACTTTACCTTATTCATGATTGTGTTGTTTATGTAACCTCTCAGGGAAAAGGCAGAGGAATTTGGAATACAATGCTTTCATGTTTGATCTTTTGAAATCATGAGGATTTGCAAGGTTCACTGTTTTATAACCTATTGTGTTGATGATTTCATATTTTCCTACCAGGTTTAAGAAAGAGCTGGCTTGTGTCAGTTTGCCAAGGAACACTAATTGGCAGCTTTCTAATTTCATTTTGAATCACATTTAATACTAGATTTGGTAAATGCTCAATGCTGTTGATTAAGGAGGTAGATATGCTTCCCCCCCCCCCCCCCCCCCCGATAGCTTAGTGCTTGACAGAGAAGCCCTTGTTAAGCATGTCATGACCCCCTTGTGGATGCTTAAGAGGCACAATCTCAGCCAGCCCACAATCCTAGCCACATAGACCTAGCCTGGCCCCAGAATTTATTTGCTTGAATATTTGCAAAGAACTTTTGGTCCAGTGTTGCATTTGTTGTGAATTATAACAAATCATAATACAGTTTCTTCTTTTTGCCTGTTCTGTAGCTTGATTGCACATTGATCCAATCCTCCTAACAACTAGTCTTCCAAAATATAAATGGACTCTTCTGATACCACATTCTCCTTCAGTAGTGCTTCACTTGACAAGGCCCTGCTAAGGTAGTAGAATTTGGTTATTTCCATTTCTGTATCAAAATCTGACTATGGGGAATTTTGTTGAAACACATTGGTTGGCTTCAGGCTAACCAAAAGTCAAGTTCCCTTGAATCTGTTTGGTCTTCAAAAAGGGGTACATAATTCTGTATTTGCTTGTGTCAGTACCTCTAAGTAGTATCCATGAGCACATAACAGTTATAATTGCATCTTAGAGATGGGGCAGTCATCTCTAAAAGTCATCTTTTAAGAGTAGTTTTTCTAAGACAGATGCTCCCTAAGAACCAAAGGGACTTATTTTAATATGGGCTGTCTGGTTCTTTGTGAAAACCTTGATGTCATTTGTGTATCCCTTTACTGTACCTTTCAGCTACCATCTCCATTATTTCTGTCCTTAATTCTTTCCAGTTTACCATCATATGCCCCACTGTCACTTAACATTTGTACTGCTCCTCCACTGGTTCCTTCTGCTATGTGCAACAATCTTACTCTTTTTCTCAAAAATATTTTGATCCACTTACAGTAGTGGAAGTTGGTATTCTAGTGAAGGCTAATTTATATCCCAACTTACAGGAATGCACTGGAGTGGAATTATTCCTTCATGAGATCCTAGGTGCTGATGAATCATTCATCTTTGCAATCCAATTAAGTAACTTTCCCATCCCTTCATTAGTCTCCAGACTTGGGAATATCCTTCCTTCCTTCCTTCCTTCCTTCCTTCCTTCCTTCCTTCCTTCC